TTTTGGTAACATTAGCAACAATGGGTTACCCTTTTTTGTAGGTAACTTAGGGTGGTAACGCGTTCATTTTTTATTGGAGTAACGAGTAACGTATTTAGTTACTTTTTTTCGCTAACGAATACACTGCAATCTGCCCTTCTGCCCGGACCATACAAACAGCTGATCTTGAGGCTCGGTATCTCCTCCATACTGCGTTTGAAAAAGGACACCACGTTACGATTCAGTGAAGGCCAAGTCCCTGTGGCTTGATAGGCAATGAACGCACTGACAATGCTGCTTAATCAGTCTTACAAAGCAACAGGCTTGAGAAAATACTGTTATCAAGGACCAACACTGCTAGCTAATATCGACTGGCCGCACACGAAATCACTTTCTCAACTTGGAATACAAGCAGACTGTGAAATGAACTCCACTACAGCCCGAACACCTTACCTCTACAGATGCCTACTGGACTACGCCGAAATGATGCTACTTTAATTTGCCGTCAAAGGCTCAGAGTGGCTTTCACGAAATCATTTTCATTTCGGATCGCAATGGCTGACAGCCCCTTCTGTGACCACTGTAGAAGCGAGGATACCCTACAGCACATCTGCGAATGTCTTCGCTGCAAAGTGCAGAGAAATTTACTTGCAGTCGCGCTAGCTCACATAGATTGCATACCGATGACGGCAGAAAACAATCTTGGTATATCACGAGATCAATCCTCTGGCACATACTGTCACGAGAGACTATGATATGGCGCATACGTAGCCAAATTAGACTCGGACTACTATTGAGCTTTTAAACGCATTACTATGCCTGGCACGTTACAAACTATAAACGACAAGGATATCCCTGTTATGATAGAGCTAGAAACCTTTATATAAAAATTTCTTGTCCTCCTTTTGCAAATAAAACACGACGACGAAGAATACGAAACGAAGCGGTTTCTCAAGGTTGCCTCGATCAATGGCTCGTGGCATCACAGCGCACCGTGCCGCTATATATAGAGGTATTCGACATGCCCGTTTTCAATGGTCGGCTCATGCATAAACAGAGACTCCACTGTCTCTCGCCGAATGAATATTGCATTCGCTTCCAATATCTTGGTACTTCTTCGAAGGCCTGCATATGCGGCAAAACCACCATGGCTCCAAGCTTGCACGTGCTCTGTAAAGGTGCAATTGCGATAGTTGTTAGGCAATGATGTTTAAATAGCTACGCTCGTCTCTCAGGAAATGGTCTCATCAAAAGATGAGCAACATAAAATGTAACGCAGTCCAGTAAAAAAACGCGTGTCAATACTCCCGTCTTTATAAAGTGCCACACATTTTGCATGATAGAACGTAAACATTTGTCCCAACGTTAAACGTAGCTGCAGCAGGACGCGCATCATATCGCAACCAAGAGAGACGGACTAGGCGAGCACAAATAGGATACTTAGGCTCTGCAAGCCCACGCCGCATTCAGCAAGCGTTCTTGATACATTTTTAGTGAGCCCCCTTCAACTTGGGCATGGCCTTGCGCATAGTTGAAAATCAGAATAAGAATTAGAAATGATTTCATTTAGTCATGAAATTAATACAGTATTTGTGTATACAAAAGGAGGTCCTATTGTCAGATTTAGTCGGGACCTCCTACAGAAGTTAATATAGAGAAAATTAATTGAAACAGCAAACAGAGAAACACAGAACTTCGCAGGCAAAAAAAGTTTTGTATTGAGGAAACACAATAGCAAAAAGCAGCAAAAAAAACTGAAATTGAACACCGTAATAAATAAAGGTTATAAAAGTCTTCTAAAAGTTTTCAAATATTAAATGGTGAAATATAATAAAAATGAATGACGAGAGACAAAGAACACTGACCCTAATTTCCCCAGTGTGGGTGAGCGCCATCTATATGAGGTCATCATTGTAATCATCAGTGCATGATGATGATCCCGTGCTTCGTTGTTTTTAAACTGTGAGAACGTTTGAAGGGGAACGGGAGATACCAAAACCATGAATAGTCTGGAACGAATGGTAAAAAAGTTCTAATTATTTTTTGAACGTGCTAATTGATTGCGAGATTTTTATTTCTGGAGATGACGGATGGCAGAGACTGATTCCAGAGAAGTGAGCAGTTTTTTTGTCATAGTTAGTATGAACTAAAGGTGAGATGAGATTAAGATTGTGTGCAAACTTTGTCAAGCTTTGATTCTCTAAACTTAATGGGGCAATTATAATTAAAAGGAGCTGATTTTTTTTATTTCTAAACAACAACCTACGAAGCGCAAACGCTAGACAACAATGAGCAGAGCTTCGGCTCTTCTGTCGTTTTATGACTGCAAGACCTACGCAGCTTCGAGAAAGAAGCAGGGGTTGTATGCAGGATGGTCCGAGCTTCTCGGATAGACGAGCTTGCTCCGAGCTCGCACTACCGTGGTCATGGCACGAAGACAGTGCGTAGCGCGAGATAGTAGCGTTGACCAAAATGACTACAGGAACGCGCGTGGCATTTGAAGCGCATGTGGGACATTTGCGGTGGCTATTAAAGAAACACCGCGTGGGAACACGTAAGCGCCGCCCAGCTGTGAACATTTTAACAGTGCAGCGACATCAGCGTGACTGTCGCGCTATCTTTTTGCCAACTCAACATTGGCCTCCGACGCGTCTTCGTGGGCGTTCTTCCTCTTTCGGGTAAGTTATTTTGTTCCAACTGCAGCATAGAAATTTCCCCTTTCGAAGGCAGCAAGGGTGCACACGCAACACTGCTGTGCTGCTCATTCCGCTTCTATCAAATATTGGAGATAAATGTAAGGACAGCTGGTCACCAGGGGCGCTCGCATCATGGCGACAAAGCGGCCGTGATTGGATATGTCGTGAGCGCGGTGAAATTGGATGCGACGCATCACCGCCGTGCGGTCTTATCACTTTTACTTCATCGGACCTGTGTGCATAGTCTGTGCGATAAAGCTGATAGATTAATCGTGCCGCTCGACGTCAGTACTGCTCCTCGGCAAGAGCAAGCGTGGTGGGCATACGCGATCTTCGTCGCGGGCGTCTGTCAATCAAACTGATTGACGCGTGACCTTGGATAAAACCCGTTGATCTGAAAAGTCCTGAGTTCAACACGTTACAGTGATGGTGCCCGTGTGAATGTCAAGCGTTTGATGCGGTGAAGGCTAAATGGCAACTTCTTTCCGTATAAAATATTTTGGTGAGCTTACACTACTTGTGCAAAGCTGGAGCTGTAGAAGAGCTTGTGATTACCGAACTTTTTGCTCTTTTTTTTTTCGTTGGTCGTCTTCTCATGTGCGTGGTCGGCTTCGAAGAGAAAACCGCATCAGCTCTATCCTCATTTTGATTGTACTAATTGGCTGAGGCTTAACAGCCATTACTCCAACCTGTCTTGTCTTCATCGATGAGCTTCAATTATCTCACGTGCCATTGGCAAGGTCATGATCAGTATGGGAGTAATAAATGTAATCCTGACTAGAAAAAATGTAATTGTTATCATATCAATAACGAATAATTAGCATGGTTTTACTTAGCATACTCTTGACTAACGTCGCGTTAATAAGCATAGTTTAGTTAGCTCATCAACTAGCATGCTTTAGTAAGCCTGGTTCTAGCTCTACATGGCTTCATTAGCGTGGTCTTTTTAAGATGTGACGTTTTTACCCCAGCCTTATCATGTCTTGACGTAATTAGCTTGGTCATAGCATGGCCTGGCCTAACTAGCCTGAAATACCGTCCAGCCAAAAAAATAACAGCATATCCATGAAGTGAATGATGATGAGTGGGGCGAAGCTTCGGAGGGTTTTATAGGTAATAAACCTTGAATCGTCCATTCATCCGTCCGTCCGTCTGTCCGTATGTATGTATGTATGTATGTATGTATGTATGTATGTATGTATGTATGTATGTATGTATGTATGTATGTATGTATGTATGTATGTATGTATGTATGTATGTATGTATGTATGTATGTATGTATGTATGTATGTATGTATGTCCATCTTTTGTCTCCCTGATGTCCATCCGTCCGTCAATCCACACCTGCTGAGTGAGTCATCAAACTGGACGATCACGCACCACAAGCTAGGATGGACAGACCCATAACTTTGGGAGCTTCACCCCTATAGGTATATAACAGGCCCCACGTAGGTGCTAGTGGGCGATGACAACAAAGACGACGCGCACCGGCCGAGCAGTGTACTAGAATGTACAGGCCGACCACGATAATTAACACGTGACCTCGGGTTTTGCTGTGGTCGCGATGTTGTAAGACGCTCTGCCGGTACTGATGTTAGATGCCACTGTGCTGATCATTCTAAATAGACTTAGTGCAGGCATTAAAAGCTTCAAAATAAATTTAAACACACAGTGCCTCTAAAAAATATCATCGCAAAACGTTTCTGACACTTTTATTAGATGGGTGCTTTTCTGCACTCAGTGGAACGACAAAAAAATTAAAGGAGATGCCTCTAGTTTCAAAACACCACCCAACATAGTCGACCATTCTAGACGCGATGACTGGTTCCATCGTAACCAATGAAACGCAGCCTAGGGGTGAATTCAAATTTTTCATATTTTTGGCTCAGTCATAAGAGGGTGTCGCCAGAGCTCGGGAATATTCCGAGTTTTGTGACACTCGGGCGAAACCCAGCCGACTCTGCATAGCGTCCTATTTATACAGAACCCCTTCTTAGTGTTGTATCAATGGTGAGATTTCGCATTGTCACTGGAAACGTGTCACCTGAGCAGCTATTGTGAAATCCTGACATAAAAATGGGTATTCATATGTCAGCCAAACAGCGCGGTTAAACATCGCACCAGAGGAAGCATGGTTCAAAACCTGTGCGTTTGCTTTCCAAACAACTCTTGAGTGCTAGTGTGCCTTATTACGTTTCTTTCACAAAAGACACTACACAAGAGAGATTCGACGAACGTTCCTTGCCCTGGTTTAAAGTGTGAGAAGTTGCGTTTCAATTTACTGAACAACCGCGGGCCTTATACAGTATGTTTTGACTTTTGCAGAACCACGACAACCAGCTGACCCTGGACGAGTTCAAGGAAGGCTCGAAGCAGGACCCCAAGATCGTGCAGGCCCTGTCTCTGTATTCTGCTTGAACGGCTGCATCCTAATCTCGCTCACTCTCCCCTTGGACCTCCGCACGAAGAAGGCGACGACGACAGAAGCAGCGGCAGTAGCAATACTACTACTAACTCGCCCCCCAAAGAACCGCTTGCACCTTGCTCTTCATCACCCTTACGCTTTTGCTCTCCGCTGTACATTCTTTATACTTCTTGTATCATGCTTTTCGTTCCACCTTTCCCATGCGTTGGGCCAGGGGACGGGTTTCCACTTGCGAACGGTAAACGACGGCCGACGGAGTGTAGATAGCTGCAACTCAACGGCTCAGCACTGACGGCGCTGCGCGATGTCGCTGAAATTTGAGTCCTATACCCAAGCAGCCGGGTGGCACTGCCCGCCGTACACACTGAACACGCCGCACCCAGCAGTCGACGTTGATGGGTGCCTGGTGAACGTATTTGTCATATCTTCATTCGACGAAACAGGCGCGCCTAGACTTCAACGATACGATAGCACCACCCCAATTGTGTATGCTCTCTGCCAAGCAATCACTCCTCAATTTTTCGAGTCTCATCCGTGTGAATTCATTGACATTCACGTGTGCTTCCTCCGAAAGTCGAAATTGTACCCACACAACCGATTATCTTTCCTTTTTTATAATTTTTTCTTGTTCCCTTTGTAGTGGCACCTAAAAGCGTCACTCATAGACATATGAGAGTTTTGCGATGCGTGTTATACGGCGCTTTCTTTTTTATTTTTACATTCTACGAAACAAAAGGAATTTTTGTTGTATTCACTTTCTATCAATCACGCCTTGTTATATACCATACAATGTAGAGATCAATGAACAAGGCGAGACAAAGTGAATAAAAAACAAGAGAAAACAAAAGAAAAGTCAATGAGAAGAAAGCAAGGCGATCAAGAGAGAGACAGCAATAGAGAAGTGAGGAAAAACTAGAGAAAGGTAAAAAAAAAAAGAATCCCGAGAATGAGTCATGAAAATAAAAAAAACGAGGCGCAGAGAAAACTGAGGTTAAGAAAGATAAGGAAAGAAAAGAATGTGAGAAAAGTAAAATGTGATTATAAATAGAAGGAGAGAGATTCTAGAGAAAAACAACGAGTCAGCTGAGCAGGTGTTATAGAAAAAAAAGTGAACAAGAAAAATACAGTACGGCATAGAGAACAATCGATGCTTTCTAGAGCATCAGACAAGCACTACAAGGAAAAGGCGCACAGCCCTGCCTGTGTGCAGTGCGCTTTTTTTGTGTGTCGTCTTCGAGTAATGTGCTAGGAAACATCAATTATGCAGTGGGTAGTATTCCGATGCTCCATCTTGAAAATAACGAAAAGAGTAAAAGAGAGAGAATGTTGGCACACACACAAAAAAGGAATTGTAAAACTGGTAAGAAGAGGCAGATAGCAAGACAGTAAAGAATTGAAGGGCGTTAAAAAGGCATAAGTAACAAGAAAAAATGAGTAAAGAAATTGATAATGCAGAGTTAAAAAGAAATCTAGATTAAGGGACAGGGACAACGAGATAACAAAGATGAGAAACTACATAAAAAACAAAAGAAAAAATGTGCTAAGGAAACAAATTTAAGAGAAAAAAGGGAATGAAAAGAAATAGAGAACTAAGAGTTGACTAGAGTGAGAGAAAAAATGCGAGATAAAGAAAATAGACAAATCAAGGTGAGGAATCAGTGTGGAAAGAAGAAAGCGAGAAATATTGAGTAAAAAGCAACGAAAAAATAAAAAAACAGAGAACAAGTGACAGAAAAAAATTACGAATGGGAGGATTATGAAAACTAAAGAAATTGGAAATCGAGTGTACTATCGGCGTCAAATGAAACCTGAACAGTGGAGCGCGTGTTTCAAGCATTAAAAACAGTATAGTGTTGGCCATCCAGTCATCACCACTGACAGGCATGCAACTCCGGTTTGGCAGCACTGCGCGATCCCCCTAGAGTGCGTTATCTCCGTTTCTGCTCTAGTTTTCGAATGGTGGTAATGGTGGCCATCGTGGGTGTGCCAAGCGCTTTTGATTATATCACTCGCAATTCCTTGCTTTTACTGCAGCGTCACAGTGCAATCGGCGTCTTGGCACGATAAAACAAAAAAGAGAAATATTATCGGTTTGCGGTTGATTTTTCAAACGATTGTCGTATCTCGTTCGCCAGCGCTACTTCACTGACACCCTTCTTTCAGAGAACGACCCGAAAAGTCTTCATTTTAACTGGAAATTCCAAGTGTTTCTTCGGAAGAGAGCGCGCAATTTGCTTCGCTTGACCAGCACGAAGTTAAACAGCGTGAAATTGCCAGCATTACGAACTGACCTTTGCCTACTATAAATAGGATTTGCCGGGCCCTCCGTGATGATTGACTCCGTGATGGCAAACCGTGCTACAATACTCGCCTTCGGCTGCACTAGTGTAACCTCTGTATTTTTTGAAATTTTGTTTCTTTCAAATACAATACCTGGAATACAAGCAGAAATATTGCACTATAGGGGGATCGTACAGCGCGCCACACCAAATGTGCGGGCTCGTCTGTGTCAATGACTGGTGGACGGCACGCACTATGCCATTGATAAGGCTTGTGCCACGCGCTCCGCTGTTCGCGTTTCATTTGATGCAAATAGTACGTGCGTGAATGCCTGTGCGCATGCGTGCGTGTGAGCGTGTTTGTGAGCGTAGCAGAGCAAGCCGCGAATGTTAGATAAATTAAACAGTGAGATCAAGTGGTAAAGAGAAATAATGAGTTACCAATAAAGAAAAAAGAAAACAAAGAAAGATGGACAGAAGCAGTGTGAAAAAAAAGCGGATGAATAACTGAAAAAAAAAAGATAAATAGGAGAGTGTGTGGGATTGAGTAAAAACAAGAAATAACGATTGGCAAAGACAGAAGAGCAGAAAATAGGGCGGGGAAAGAGAGATATAACGAGTGATAGGTAAAGCGAAATAGTTGATAATAAGGAAATATTAGCAATAGAGAAGAAGGAAGACAGAGGGAGTTATAGAAAATTGAAGAAGCAATAAACGAAGAAAATAAGAATATATAGGAATAAAAAAAGAGGAAGAAGACACCTGTAGAAATATGAGATAAAAAGATAGGAAAAAGAGGCGCGTCCTGGTGAGCGTAGAAAAAAATTAAAGTAGAATTACAGTATAAGAGACAGCTTTACAAAAACAGGCAAGATAAACGACAATCTTGAGAGAGGAAAGAAGAAGAGCGAAAGAATGAGTGCTTGATCAAGGTAAAGGAAAGAGAAGAAAAAGAGTGAGTTATAAAGACAGAAAAAGCAGATAAAAATAGAATGGGTGAGTACGCACAAAGAAAAAGGTATGAAAGAAAGGTTTGTTTATCAGAGGACTCAAAGAAAGTGTGGGCGAGCAAAGGAACGAAAGAGAGAACGAAAGACAGTGGCGCGGAATGGTATGAATAAAAAATGATAAAACGATTGAAAAAGACAAGTAGGAAGAGAAAAAGGAATAGAAGATGACAATAAGAAGAGCAGTGAGAGAAAACAAAGAGCGAGGAAAAAATACCATTCTCTTAAGGATAGAAGCATGACGCGAAAAAAGGGGATAAGGTAAGAGATGGAGTAGTAAACAGCCACGAATGGCCACGCACGTTGCAATAAAAAGGGAAGAAAGAAAGCTCCTTATATCTGCAGGGATTACTGACTACGGCGCTAAAAAAGACCACGTGGCAATTAACGCAATGACTTTCGTTAGTGCCTTGATGGCACGGGAGCCTAATGTTTTCTCGCGGTTATCCGTTTATTGAGCCTTATTGCTGTTCATCAGCTTTGATAGTCGTACATCATCGACTCTTTTTTATTTTCGCCGCTGTGACAGCCGAAAAACGCCTTCTCTGCTCTTCATTCTTTCAAAGTAAGGATTGTCCAATTACCGAACACCACCGTTACCTTGCTGCCGTTCAATTTTACTCATTTTTTCCGTGCTCCACATGAAAGCTCAGTTCTGCCAGCAGGATAAAGAGATAAGTCATGCGTCTGTAAGCTGTCCTCTGTGTGATGAGCGCAAAATCATAGAACGACACTTCGACAGCACTGTTTCGACTTTTGGTGAAGTACCAGGGGCCGAGCTACTAAACATGTCATTGCCCGCTCGCGAAAATCATTTTTTTCTCCTTGGATGGTACTTATGTCGCCTTTTCAAAGTTATAGTTAGAATACCTACTACTTAGCTAAATGTGGTAGTTCAGAAATTTACACCAGATCTTTTTGTTCATTGCAATCATTAATATTGAACGTTGGCGCAAAAAAACTCATCAGTCATTCTATTTCTTCCAAAAAATCAAAGAAAAAAAAAGATAGAGAGACGGTGAACTAGGTATCTTTAAATCAAACGGCTAGTTGAATCTTACCAAAACCACAGAGCTTTGAACCGTAATAAATATGTCTAGATAAATCATATCGTCTCTTCTCTTCAGAATCGTGTGAACACCGTTTGGCACACTAAAACAGCTCCCGTTGGAAAAACTATCACTCACCAACGTGAGAGCAGGCAGATGTTCGCGTCGCCGTCAGTGCTGTCTCGGTTAGGAGTTGACCTCGCCGTCAGCACGAGAGACAATCGTTAGTGCTATCTCTCTCCGTAGTCGCGCTACGCGTGCTTACACGTACAGCCCCCGTATACCACATGCGCGTGCGTAGTTTGCTACGCTTGTAGCAGTGTACGTAGACGACGACCTGCGTCCCGCTTTTATTTAGCGGAGGAACGCGTGGGCGCTGCGTGTCGTGTAGCGCGCTCCATTCCGCTGCGGCCGCTCGGCTCGCCGGCAGCGCCTCCGTAGTGCGCGCTTATGAACGGCAGTCCCGTCGGGCGTCAATAGATCTGCCTGTAGAGCAGCAGCAGAAGCAGCATAGCTACGCCACAGACCGATTGCGTGTTTGTAAACAGTGGTAGGTGCCGTCGTCATACGGAGGTGCTTGTAGCGACGTCGAGGCGTGTAGGATCCACCCAGCTTAAAGATCCCCACCACCCTCTACGATCACGTGACAACTAGCACTGAAGTTGCAAGGCTGCCACCGAGCACAGCCTCCCGCATTGCAATGTGATCGGTGCGGGAGGCTCCTCGACGCGCTGTTCTCGAAGGCAGCTTTTCAGCTGCTGTGCCAGTTGTCACATGGTAGTAGAAGGTGGTGGTGAGCTTTGGGCTGAGCGGGACATACGCCCTGTGACGTCTCTACAAGCGCCTACCACTGTTTACAAGGATTGATTGTGTCTACAGATTCCCCGTCGGCACACACCGTAGGGCGCCATCGTGCCCGCACGCTTGGTGCGCGTAGCGCAGTGCATGACACTGATACAAAGGAAGCGAGAGACGGGCCGCAGACTGTTCGATTTCTCTCCGAAAATACTACACAGCCACGTTCCCAATACGCTCGGATCGACAAAAGAAACAAACACGCGTGCGAGCAGAACGAGGAAACGGGATGACTTCCCGCCTTGAAGTTTCGAAAGAAAAATTTGACGAAGCCAAAGCCCGTGAGTACTTGCACTGGCCTGCCGCTTTATCCTCTACTGACGGACAGGAGGGCCCCAATATAGGCCTCATTAGAATGTTCTTCCAAAGATAGCTCTGCTTGTGCATTCTCCTTATTCTAGTCCTAATCAAAGCTGCTCACACAATATGCCATGCAAGTTTCCATCCCGTATTCCCCACTGCGCTTCTTCCAATAAAAATCCCCTTTATTGTTCCCTCCCGTCTTTTTTTTTTCGGGGTGTTGAGAAATTGAATTAAAGTTTAGTAGTAGCCACTTGTCTGCATACGAAATGTCATTTCAAACCTTCTTTACTCCTGTTTTATTTTGCATTACGCCGGCTTCAAGCCCAGAAAGTATATTCCTGACAGTCACTTGAGTCAAACGGGTGATATTCAAACGGGTGATATCCCCGTCTTGCGGCCTCCTTATCTATCTCTTGATCACAATTCCATCAGTCAGGCCGTGCTTCTTCACACGCTGGAATGTCACACTCCCGTTTTGGAATTCAGAAATATAGCTTATGTACAAAGAGCAAAAAAATTAGAGAACGTAACTCACTTCGATAGATATCTTTTCATTTTTTTTCATTAAAAAATACCGAAGTTTCGATCGCCCGAGATTCTGTACGGTCGCCATTCGATATACAGAGATGAAATAGTATCCAACATAAATAAGTAGCAAAAACTCTATTTTTTGAGGGGAAAATACGTTGAATAACTCACATGGCTTTACTTTATGGTGTACAATCTTGAGCAGCACAAATAAAGATATAGATTCAACACAACAGTAAGCACAGAATAAACGTTCGGTGGTTCAACTCTCCTTGCCAGCAGTATAAAAGTTTGCGGGTTGACAGACGATTCAAAATGCATAAGATGACAGCGCGAGCTGGGCAGCAACTTTCGAATGCTGCTGCACTTTCGATCATCGTTCGCACCGAATGACATCACCCTCTATCTGTCATGGTTATAGCAGGGTATTTAAGTGTGCTAGCTGTAATGAGCTAAAACAAGATGTGATGCTTGTGCCTATGGCCCATTGATACAGGTGGAAATTTTCTACAGGTGTACTGCACTCTGTTGGCCCGTCGTATAACAAAGATGTCTTGCGACGACCCAATCGAAAATCATGCGACGAAAATATAATTTCAGCAAAAGCAGGAGTGAGCGAGAAAAACTTCCGCCGGTTTCTTCGCAAAAGTTGAATTTACAAAAGAGCCAGCCGAGCTGGCTACGTATTGCTATTTGTCCCAACGTAGGC